GAGTTGGAGTCTCACTCTGTCGCCCAGACTGGAGTGCAGTAGCCACTCCGGGCCACTGCAGCCTCGACCTGCTGGGCTCCGGCGATCCTTGTGCCTCAGCCTTCCAAGTAGCTGGAACTACAGGCGCGCACTACCACGACCGGCTGATTTTTTGACTTATTGTAGAGATAAGGTCTCGCCAAGTTGCCCAGGCGGGTCTCGAACCCGCGGGCTCAGGCAGTCCACTCACCTCAGCTTCCCAAAGCATGGCATTATAGGCTGAGCCACCGAGCCTGGCTAGATGTTCGTTTTTAAAGCCTAGCTTGCTATTCTTAAGTTGATATTCTTTTAGTTTATCTTTCTCTCTGTTTCTTGTTCTCTCTGTCCTCAAATGAAATAAGTTCATTCTTGTGGTTTGCTGGCCCTCTGGTTCCCTTTTGACTCTTCTCTGCATCCCAGGTAATGGAGAATGTATCAGCCAGCTTTCCCTCACCAAGTCTAAAATGACCTGTCCTTTCACTTTTGATTGACTTATTCTCTTGTATGTTTGGATTCTCTTAACTCCTTTAACCCCATGAAAGCACAGAGTGTCCTTTTGTGCAGAAAAACTCAGAGTAGGTGGATAGGAGCCCTTCTCTTTGATTTAGGTTTTTAGAAGTCTGAGTTTCCATCAATACCTGTACTTTGGTGGGCTTCAGTCCTCTGTTGAGAGCAAATTCTCTACTGTGGGGAGAGATACCAAACTAGATGCTTTTGTGAGGAAGGGATGGTGGTCTGAGAGCCTTTGTACCTTAGGGGTATGTAATCACAGTCTTCAGGGCTGTTTTTGAGGGAAGTGGAATTAGAGGACCCTGCTTCTCTTCTTTCCATTCTTCCTATCACACTCCCTTTCCGGGTAATTGCGGACCAATGCTTCTCTCTAGTGGTAAAGATTATCCAGCAAGCAATCTCCTCTGTCCTTTGCAGTTGCTCTTCTCCATGTCTTTCCTGCTCCAAGTACTTAGATGTTACTACCTTATTTCCCCCCAAATTCTACTCTTGTCCTTGCAAACAAGATACTACACCTGGCCTAAGGAAGCCAGTTACCACCTGGGCAAGGGCTCCTCTCGTTCCTCCCTGTCCACGGCACTGAACCATTCCCTTGCTGCCTCCGTGAAAGAGATTCCTGTTACTGCAGCACTTCTGTCTGCCAGGGGTAACTTGGCCATTGTCCCTATCCTTCTACAGAACCCGAGGGAGAAGGTAGTGGCTATGTCTCTCCCCCAGTAATGTCTCTGTCTGTTTTTATTCCTTCTCTCCAGCAGCTGTCCTAACCACTCTGAGTCACAGGTGTGGGATGGGGAGGGAGGAGAGGCACTTAAGCTGTAACCCCCAAGGAGGAAATAACTTAAGAGATTCTTCCGGGGTAGCTGGTGGGTGTGCCTTTTGTAGGCTGTTCCCTTTGCCTTAAACCTGAAGATGTCTCCTCAAGCCTGTGGGCAGTATGTCCGGGTTCCCAGACCTTAAGACACTGTGACAGTTGTCTCTGGTTGGTCTGCTGTGTTTAGTTGCAAGGATTTTTCCATGTGTGTTGTTTTTTTTCTGTTACTGTTTTAAAGGGTGCACATTTGTGATGAGCATTGTGACTTGGAGATAATAAAATTTAGACTATAAACTTGACTCCCTTGCATGAGTTTGCATGAGTCTTGATTTGGGAGGGAGGGAAAAGGACTCCCTAATTCCCCCACAGGGTCACAGTCTCAACTCAAGCAGCTCAGACTTGCGAAACAGAAGCCCAGAGAGATTAGGAGCCCCTGTGAGACCATAAATGTTTCTACACTCTCCATCAGTATCTTTTTAAAACTACAGTGGCCACATAGGTACTAGGATATCATGCAGTTCTCTGAGCCTGGAAGTGTCAGGGACAGAAAAACTAGTGAGATGCTGCTTACCCACATGAACATCTAGTATCCTTTTTTTTTTTTTTTTTTTTTTGAGTTGGAGCCTCTCTCTGTTACCCAGGCTGGAGTGCAGTGGCATGCTTATGGCCACTGCAACCTAGACTTTCTGGGCTCAGGCGATCCTTCCACGTCAGCTTTCCAAGTATCTGGAACTACAGGCACGCATCATCATGCCCAGCTAATTTTTTGATTTATTGTGGAGATAAGATCTGGCTAAGTTGCCCAGGCTGGTATTGAACCCCTGAACTCTGACAATTCCCTCACCTCTTCCTCCCAAAGTGCTAGAATTACTGGCATGAGCCACCACGCCCAGCTAAACATCTAGTATCCTTTATGGCCACCTTTGTTTGGCAAGTAAGTTTCCCAAAGTTATGCATCATCTAGTGTCAATATCTGTACCCTGGACAGGAAGCTCCCTTTCTTGTAAAGATATGGTACTGAATTGTTTAAGGGAGAAGCTCCCGTCAGCCTTAGTGGAGGGAAGGAGAGAGAAGTTGAAAAACCACCAGCTGTGGCTCATGTAGCAGTTTACCCAGGCCACTTGGTCCATGATGCTTACAGGGCAGTTCCCAGCTTTGAATTAACCATTTCCTCCAGGTCTTGGGTAGCATAGAAGTTTGCTACAGAGGCTATCACTGGTATGGGAGAGTGATTGAGTTTAATGTGGAGTTGGCAGCATCTGTTCTTGGGTTTCACAAAGCCATATGCTGGAGGCATGGACATCACAGTACATCTTAAAATGACAAATGGGACTGCCTGCTACCCCTTGGTGCTGCTGCTGCAGCTAGAGGACCATGACTTTTCTGACCCCCTCATCCCCAATCCCTCTTTAACACGTGTCAGTTTGTTTCTCCTTCCCTACAGGGTGATGGGTAACTATAGGCCTGGTCTCCTGGGGTCATGCAGAGAATGCCAACCAGCCTTGGGGGTGAGTTACTGGCAGGAGGAATGAGTGAAAGATGCTTCCCCCTCACCCCTGCTCTGGCTTCCTGGGTCCTGCAGTTGGATCCCATTGCTCTCTCTGTTGCCCTGGTAACCAGCTTAGCAAGAAGAAACTCAAGCTCAGCAAAGCCCTCAGGTTCTCTGTCCCCTCCCAGCCTGCCTCTGGATGGGCAGAAAGTAGGGGAGCGTAAAGAGCAGACAGATGAGTCTTAGGTAGCCCTGCCCAGTACTCTTCTAAAAGCCCACAGGCTGGGCTCTCGGCTAAAACTTTTTGACCCACCTCCTCGTGGTTGTTCATAACACCCTGCCTTCCTCTTTTTTTTTTTTTTTTTTTTGAGTTGGAGTCTCACTCTGTCGCCCAGACTGGAGTGCAGTGGCTGCACCTGGCTACCGCAGCCTCGACCTGCTGGGCTCCGGCGATCCTTCTGCCTCAGCCTTCAGAGTAGCCGGAATTACAGGCGCGCGCTACCATGCCCGGCTAATTTTTTAATTTATTGTAGAGATGAGGTCTCGCCTGCCCAGGTGGGTCTCGAACCCACGGGCTCAGGCAATCCATTCACCTCAGCCTCCCAAAGGCGCGGGATTACAGGCTGAGCCACCGAGCCCGGCTTCTACCTTCCTCTTTATCGCTTCTGTAATAGGGTGCAAATGCTCTACCAACCCTCCTCCCCCTCAGGATCAACATACAGGCCTGCTACCTTGTGGGCAATTTAGGACAGCAAAGGGCTGGTGGTGGTGGCTCACACCTGTAATCTCAACACTTTGGGAGGTCAAGGCAAGGATTGCTTGAGACAAGGAATTCAAGACCAGCCTGAGCAACATAGCAAGACATCGTCTCTATAAATAAAAAAATTTAGGTAGGGGTGGGGAAAATAAAATTAGACGGTGTGGTGGCACATGCCTGTAGTACCAGCTTCTTGGGAGGCTGAGGCAGGGGAATGCCTGAGCCCAGGCAGTTGAGGCTGCAGTAAGCTATGATTGTAACACTGCACTCCAGCCTGGGCAACAGAGACCCTTACTCAAAAAACCAAAAAAAACAAGGGCTTGGAATTTCAAAGTCACCTCTGCAGCCCAGTTGCATTTGTTGTCTCTATAGGACAGTGATTTTTTCAAACCTGGCCATTTATAACACTTGGGGAGCTTTTAAAAAATAACAAACCTCTTATTTGTTAATCTGAGATGTGGCCTGTACATCAGTATTTCTGAAACGCTTTGCTGTGATTCCAGTGTGCAGTCAGGTTGAAAGCCACTGCTGCTCTAGGAGTACCCTGACTTAATGCTGGCTTTCCTCCGTGATTCAAGGTCCTGAACTTAAGAGTCTCTGCTTGATATCCTTGAGTAGTTGGAGGGGTGCTGGGGTCTCGTTCCCTACGCTTCTAGTTTCAGTAGTCTCTCAGCCCCTTTATTTCCAACCTCCTCACCCTTCACACTCCCCAATTCTTCGTCCTTCCTAACCAACAATTCCCAAATCCTGCCCAGAGAGGAGGTTACCAAGGCAACCGGCTTAATCTGGTAACTGTGGCATGTGCTGGGAGAGAAACCCTTTCCTCTTCCTATTCGGTTCATAAATTGTTAGTTACCTGGGGAGCTCCAAACCAGCCAGTTTCCCCTTTTGACTCTGGGGATATTGGGGTGTCCAATAAAGGAAGCACAGGAAGCTGGTACGAATCCAGCTTCTTAGCCAAAATTGTGCTGTCTCCCTTTATACTTGTTCCCTCTCCAAATCCACAAACAGATGGGTGTACAAAGCTTTATTTCTATGAACACATGCTCTAGCACACGAGACGAGATATGCACACACAGTGACACATTATGTGGTACACACCCTGTTTTACCACCTCTCCCAGCCATTAGCATTCCTGTCCCTGCCTGGTTGGTGTACAGTAAACAGGGGTGGGGCACCGTCCAGGGAGCCTCAACTCATCTGGAATCTTGTGCCACTCCCCCACCTAGTAAACCTAACCTGGATGTGCTCACACCTAGGGTGTCTTTATACCCTCCTTTTCCTTCTAGGGCGGTGTACCCTTAAGGACACTGTGCTCCTGGCATGGGCATCAGGAGTAAGGATTAGCCAGGTGCAGTGCCTCACACCTGTAATTCCAGCACTTTGGGAGATGTAAGCGAGGGAATTGCCTGAGCCTATGGCTTTGAGACCAGCCTGGGCAACGTAGTGAAACCTTGTCTCTACAGTAAATCAAAAAATTAGCTGGGCATTGCAGGTCGAGGCTGCAGTGGCCATGGGCTTGCCACTGCACTCCAGCTTGGGTGACAGAGTGAGACTGACTCAACAACAAAAAAAGGAGTACCCGGGCTCAGCGGCTCAGCCTGTAATCCCGCACTTTGGGAGGTCGAGGTGAGTGAATTGCCTGAGCCCACAGGTTCGAGATCCGCCTGTGCAACTTGGCGAGACCTCATCTCTACAATAAATCAAAAAATAAGCCGGGCGTGGTAGCACGCGCCTGTAGTTCCAGCTACTCGGAAGGCTGAAGTGGAAGGATTGCCAGAGCCCAGCAGGTCGAGGCTGCGGTGGCCGGGAGTGGCCACTGCACTCCAGTCTGGGCGGCAGAGTGAGACTCCAACTGGAGTAAGGATTATTTGGAGTGCTAATTTGGCACCAATCTTCCCACTCCATGGCTATGTACGCTCTGGGCTCCATGCTGGATGATGTTAGTTGGCAGTTCTGGGGCTTGTCATCTGTCTCTATGGCCCTGTTTCCTTCTGCTGCCAGCTGGGCTACTTTCTTCTCCTCACCCCAGTTAGACCTGCCACAACCTGCTGCTCCCTGCCTGGCTCCTACCTGCCTGCCAGTACCTGCCTTACAGCCAGGTCCACACACATATTGTGTCCTACCAGAGAGGGCAGATGGGCACCGCCCCCAGGACCAGTGCCAATCCACCCCAGAGGCCTTCCCAGCCCTTCTGAAGAAAGATAAAGACCACATATTCCTGTGAGTATGGTGAAAAGGCACACGTGGGGTTCAGCAGTCTTTGGAGGCCTTACCTGGGTACACAGGTTGGTGAGCTAAGGAGTACAGGACACGGACCTGTCCTGCTCTTTGAAATGATTCTGAGACCCAGGAATCTCTTGAGCTAGGAATCCCTCTCCACTGGTAAATCTCCATCTCACCTTTGCGCCTAATTTCTGCTCTGAACCCAGGTCTCTTGCCGCTTCCCTCGCGGTCGGCCCCTGGCGCCTGAGTTCAAGCCGCGCGCGGCCCGGGGGCGGGCCCAGCAAGGGCAAGGGCGGGGCCTGGGCGGGGACTGGAGGAGG